GAATAGTTTTGACTACCGGATATTCCGATAATGTTTAAAAAGATATTGAATAATCGTTGTATATTATTCACGACTAGTTAATACTATTAAAGTACAGGATAAAATACTCGGTAGTTTTCATTCGAATAAAAACTACTGTATATTTTACTATATAGTTTTGTAGTCAGAAGTACTCAATCATGCACATTCTATTCAAATAAGATATTGTTTTATTTAGTTATTTTAACCCGCAAAACAAGCTGAACGGTTAGTAATCATATTATTCATGGTAACAGTTCGATAGTTATCTAACAATCGATACGGTAGTTCGGTGTCGATTGTGTGTTTGGTTACTAAATCTATAGAAGAACATTAGTTTTTGTTTTTGAAAACAGCCGGATGAACCGATAGTGTTATCGAATAGTTATAACGTTATATGTATATAACGTTGTTTAACTATTCTACTTATAATCATGGAAAATATATTAGTATAGATTACATAGATAGGACACAACAATTAGCTATTGGCAACTGATTTTTTATTAATTTATACCTGGAGAGATTGCGCTATATACCCCCTCGAAAAATGTTATAAATTTTAAAATAACTGATCAGCTTGATATTTTGGTAATAGCTGCGATAATAGACGTAGTACTGATATTTGCCAACGAAAATCAATGTAATAACTTAGTTATTATCAAAAACAATTGTTTATTATTTGATTTAAGTGAAACGTGTTTTGCTTTACAAATACGATAAAACAATATGTATCTTCTGCTTTATTGATTTATATTTCGCTATTATTTATTTTTTTAATTTTTTTCTTAGTTTTGAGATTCTTAATATATTATATAACTACCCCTCGCTACCGATTTGTTTGGAAAATTTTCAAATATTGTACTGCAAAAAAATTACATGCGTGAATGGTTTCTTTCGTATCCTTTCAAATCTAGTACTTAGATTTTTTATTGGATTTTCATACAAATCATACTAAAAGGAAGCTTATTACCTCTTGTATCTCTATTAAAATTTGATTAAAATCAGTTAAAAAAGTTAAAAAAATCAATAGGAACACGTTGCTATACTCTCGGTGTACTCCACGGCATTAACTATGAATTTTTGGTATTTACTCTTAATTTTAAATACGAATCACAAGANATTAACTATGAATTCTTGGGATTTACTTTTAATTTTATATATGAATCACAAGATTTTACCATATTTTCTATATTTAAACTTTATCATCTCATCACACAAAAGTGGCTGAACGAATTTTTTTCAAATTTACATAGCACTTATCTTTAGCAATTTTCATATCTGGCGAAAATTTGATGATGAAGAAATAAATTTAACGCCATTTAATAACTTAAAAAATTTACAATTTACGTGTTCTGGAAAATCCACAAACTATGTAATTTTCAACATTAAATTTTTATTTTTTGCATTTATTTTACACGAAAATAAAATTCTACATACCATTGTAAGCAACTATTTGTAAAATTATTGTTTTTGTTTAATACTAATGAAAGTATAAAACTGTCGATGAAACAGTTGTCTTTTTACTATAAATACGATTTTCATTTTATCATATAACTAATAGTGACTTTTGTATCAATTTTTTCATGAATATGACATATATTATAATGTTAAATAGCATTTAAAACTGATTATCTATTTTTAAATGTGACAGGATTGTCCATATAAAATTACAATTGTATGTCACCAAGCATTATTATGGAATCCTCAGTTGGTTTAGCAGTGAACGATGTGTGTCACAAATCTGTTTACGGTTTTAATAATCAAATATTATTAAATATTAAAAACTAACAACTCCTTTTTAATAGAATAAACTGTTTTTTAACTACAATTTGTGAGCATCAGAATTGAAAGATTCCGTTGATTACTTGAATATGAGTGTTGAGCATGATGAACCCGTGTATGAGTCTATAGAAAATAATTTAGAAAGAATAAATAACGCTTGTAATAATTTAAGTATATCATCTATTTCATTAAAACACTTAACTAAAATTCGCCGACCAGTTATTATTGAAAAAAAAGCTGAAGTTATAAGTTCTATAGTAAAAAAAAACTCTTCTCGGCTTATAAAATTCATTGTTTTTCTTCCAATAGCACACATTTCCTTTCTAACGGAAATTATGCCATTAACGAGTATGAAAGTTGGATAAATAACTTAAAGAATTTAATGAAACTAGCCAACACATAAGAATTTTAAGTCTGTTGCCTAAATCATGGTCGGTTTCAAAAATTCGTGAAGAATTTGGTGTCACAGAATGCTTTGTGAAAAAGGTAAAAAAATTAGTCGATATTCATGGTGTTTTACCTCACATTGTCGTTCAAAAACCTGGTCGAGTAATTGATCCGAAAGTAGTAATAAAAATGTGGGTGACTTTTATCATAATGAAGATTATAGCAGAGTATGTCCCGGTATGAAAGACGTCATGAATATAAGAGATGCTGATCGTAAAAAAATTACAAAACAGAAAATCCAAATGACAAAATTGGTTTTACTAAATTTGTTGAATTGAGACCTAAATAGTGTATTTTAGCTGGAGCAAGGGGTACTTAATAAACAAAACCAATAATTTTAAAAACAGTTGCTTACAATGGTGTGTACTATTTTATTTTCGTGTAGAATAAATGCAAAAAATAAAAATTAAATGTTAAAAATTACATAGTTTGTGGATTTTCTATAACACGTTAATTGTAAAATTTGTAAGTTATATAAGTGGCGTTAAAATTATTTCTTCATCATCAAATTTTCGCCAGATATTTTAATAACCTAAAGATAAGTGATATGTAAATTTGAAAAAAATTCGTTCAGCCACTTTGGGTAATGAGATGATAAAGTTGGCTATTTTCAAAAAATCATGTGTGTTCAAGTCCGTAAAACGATACAAAAAAAATTATAAATCGATTTAAATATGATATGGGATAAAAGAACATAACTAAAAGTTTCTGAAAAGAAAAAAATAATTTTTGACCNAAAAAAAAAGGGTCAAATGTATTCCTTAATTAAATCACTTTTTATAATATAAAATTATTTAATACGATAATTTTGTTTGCAAAAAGTAATGATTAGCCCATATTTCAGAACGGTAGGTGGGTGGTACGGTATTTGTAAAAATATCGTAATTGTCTTACAGTGGTCGAAATTCGGTGAATCGTATAATTATAGAAAAAACTCTTGTGTTTTTTTAGCCGTTTCGTCCGCTTAAGATCCGTTTGGATTCACGGTTAATAATTTGATGCCTTAGCGTACTGTTGTATGGGCAATCCAAAAAATTATATTTTTATATAANGCTTATTTCACGGCTATCCTGTATATCTACAGGATTAACAAGCGTTTGGGCGGCTCGCTGTCAGCGACCGCTTATTCGTCAGTCCAAATTAATGGACTGCTTATTTCGCGGCTAACCTGCATATCTGCAGGCCGTTCCTCTATCCGCAACCTGAGGACGCGCCCGATTCCCCGAGCTAGGGAAACTGCGTTCGTGACGACGTTTCGTAGCCCCGTAGAGCCCGATCACACCGACACTGTAACGCAGCGCAACGGGCGTTTATTTAAGTCTAGTTAATGGACTTGTCTTTTTTACCGTATAAGGAAGGACCATCGTTATCGCTCTCGGCCGAGTCTATGTCGATTGATTCAGTTGTTGTGCTCGCGTTATTCGAACTGTATACTCGAGGCGATGTTTTCGTATCGAGGGAAAACGTTGGTGTCTCGTTGAGCTTCCAGACTTTCAAGACCAATCCGTTGGGTTTATCGATGTCGTCGTCAGTCGTCTGCTTCATTTTTTTTGTCGCATAGTATTCGGTATTCGTAGTGAGCTTTCGTTTATTGGACATGCAAGAATATGGGGTGACCCACGAAAGCCGTTTCATTTTTGTAAACGTAAAGTCACAATCGGTAATACCGTTTCGTTTCTAGTAATTGATCTAGTTGATCTAGTAACAATAATTCGGGGAATTACAATTAATCCAAACATTACATAAGTGTTCTACTTCTAGGTTTACAAATAATAGACTATATTATATTTTTGTAATAATAGATTAAGAAATTCATAGTTAAACCAAACATTACAAAAATGCTTTGTTTTCAGTTTTATAAAATAATGACCTATATTACAATATTGAAATATTTACAATTTTTTTATAACTCCTATGAAATTCAAATGCAGGTGTTTATTATTATTTTTTTTATGTATAGTATGTCGCGGTCGCATCGCGACTCCAGCTTTACCACTGGATGGCGATCGCGGCGCTTTCCCTTTACGTCCGGCAGGTCGCGCCATATGGAGTGGCTGACGGGCGGCTTAAAACCGGTCCATGCCGCCGGCCACTAACAAGAAATATCACATATTAACGTTTTGGCGATTGTCTACTTCCTTTGAGAACTAATTTTGTTTTTTTTATGTAATCTTACGGATATAGAAATTGTAAAATATATTTTCACTGATATTAAACGGTGTTGTTTATTATTCAACATAATTACTACCCGAACCACAACAATTCTTTTAATTATTATAAATAAAAAAAATTCCACGGAATTAAAAATGGAGTAAACAATAATGTAATGAAAAAAATTTATAACAAATTTTTGTAACATAGATTGTTCAACGTCTAACTAATAATAGCTGTTTAATTTTTGGTCGAGAAATGTCTAATTAAAACTATACTTGGCTACACCACCATTCTTTATTTTAAAAAATTCAATAAAAGGGTCAAATGTCGTTATCAAATAGTATTTTCCTTAATTAAATCACTTTTTATAATATAAAATTATTTAATACGATAATTTTGTTTGCANAAAAAAAAAGGGTCAAATGTATTCCTTAATTAAATCACTTTTTATAATATAAAATTATTTAATACGATAATTTTGTTTGCAAAAAGTAATGATTAGCCCATATTTCAGAACGGTAGGTGGGTGGTACGGTATTTGTAAACATATCGTAATTGTCTTACAGTGGTCGAAATTCGGTGAATCGTATAATTATAGAAAAAACTCTTGTGTTTTTTTAGCCGTTTCGTCCGCTTAAGATCCGTTTGGATTCACGGTTAATAATTTGATGCCTTAGCGTACTGTTGTATGGGCAATCCAAAAAATTATATCTAAAAATATCGCTAGTTATTATATGACCACACGCTTTTCACGGATAAGTTTTATTAAAAAAAAAAAAATGTACACATATATTGATAATAACAAATTACATATATCATAATAAATATACAATTTCCAATTAGAAAGAAAAATATTTCACACAAGAAAACAAACAAATATACAACGAAAAAATACTATATAACAAAATAATATTGACATATATATGAAAAAAAATAACAATTATTAATAAATTTGCATGTACAAAAGAGGTACTATCATAAAGTTATTGTACACGAATTTAATAAAAAAAAAAATACAAAATGTACAATATTTCTAACGGAATCAAATAACATCGAACTGATGTGTCACTCGACATTGGAAACTCAATGTTGCCCATTGTAGAATATTGTAGAAAACGTGTTTCCAATGAAGAAAAAGCCATCCCCGGCGTGTACTTCGATTAAACACGGCCGTTTAAATTGTAAGTACAGCGTCTGGGGCAGAAAAAATAGAGTTATAAGGCGAATATTACATATTTCAATTGGTATTGATGAGTAGGTCGGTATTAGTCGAAATCGGTGTGTCGTATAAAGTCGTGATTGGTAAACGTGAATCTTGATGATGGGCAAATATATAATATTTACGTCAAAATTGGAATAATGTGCCGGCTTCTAGTTCGTACTTATGCCTCAACCGGACATAAGGCATTGCGAGCGGGTTGATCGGCGTGCCGTCGTCTCTGGACATCTTCTCGGCCAACTCCAAAGATAACGGTCCGCAATCATAACCGTTGCGTTGTTGCACAGCTTTTCCGTACCGTAAAGTCCATTGGGAAGAATATCCGTAGTTTTCGATCTCCCATTCGATTAGAAATTGTCTAAATAACGACGGGTAAGGGCCATTGTAGGAGTTGAGACTGTCGAAAAACGTTATCGTCTTTTCGGGTACATCGACTACAGTCATGGTCCAATGGTTGTCGTTTACGTGCATGGGCACCAACAGGAGTTTTAAAGAGTGTATATCGATTTTGATCCATCTTTTCACGCCAGCGTATCCGCGTCGGGAAAGCGCCTTCATAAAATCGGTGATCAGGTAGTGCACTTTGCCTTGCGAACGCGATGCAATCAAACTTAAATACGCGTTGATTGTGTCGCCGCTGTACCACGTCGTCGCAGTGAGAAATGAATCGTACGAGGGCGGGTTCTTCTTTTTCTCGTTCAAATCTCGCGGCGGCACGTCTGCAAGCAAAATTTTTTATTTTTTAATCCGATCGCTTAACTCTCGTTTAAATAATTTATCTAATTTTAAATACTATTATATATCTAATGCCGTTTATTTAAGTCTAGTTAATGGACTTGTCTTTTTTACCGTATAAGGAAGGACCATCGTTATCGCTCTCGGCCGAGTCTATGTCGATTGATTCAGTTGTTGTGCTCGCGTTATTCGAACTGTATACTCGAGGCGATGTTTTCGTATCGAGGGAAAACGTTGGTGTCTCGTTGAGCTTCCAGACTTTCAAGACCAATCCGTTGGGTTTATCGATGTCGTCGTCAGTCGTCTGCTTCATTTTTTTTGTCGCATAGTATTCGGTATTCGTAGTGAGCTTTCGTTTATTGGACATGCAAGAATATGGGGTGACCCACGAAAGCCGTTTCATTTTTGTAAACGTAAAGTCACAATCGGTAATACCGTTTCGTTTGTTTTTTATCAGTCCGATAGCCGATGGCTTTGATATCGTAATCGTGTCAGTGTTGGCGATATATTTCGGTTTGGTAGCAATCTTGTCCGCGGAAGATCCGTTTGGATTCACGGTTAGTATTTTGACGTTGTAGGGCACTCTAGCGTTGGTCGTTTTTGACCGATCGGTGGCCAATACGGTGTTTCTATACATATCGTGATTTTCGTCTGCCGAAAAGGATTCAATACACGACGGTAATGTCTGTACACACAGAACTCGTAAGCTTTTTGCAAAGATTTTAAAAATTTCAATTGCTTTCCATAACACAAAAACCGCCGTAATTCGTTCAAAATTATTTACTTAAAGTACGTTTATTTGGTATCCAAGCAAATTCACACAAAAGTAAATATAAATTAATACAGTATACAGTATACAGTATCACGATAAACACACCGTGTGCCCGTTGAAATTATCAGCCAGATGAATTTAATGTTTTTTTTCAATAATGAACATTGAATTCTTAAATTTTCTTAAATTAATAACTTTAATAGAAAAATAATAATAAATCACATATATCCGTAGTTTTCGATGTCATATATATATGCCATTGTAGTGGATCTGGATGGCTTGCCTGAGGGAATTTAATATTTATTTGTTGTTCGTATTACCGTCTGGAATCCCAATAGAGAAATCCGCACAGAGTCCTTCAATATGTGTATATGAGGTAGTGATTATGTGTATAGTAATGAATTTAACACATTCAAAGCAATGCATTATAATTATAGATATTATAATGTATTATAAGATTTGCATTAAGTTACAAAAGAAACTAAAGCTTATATTTTGAATAAATGTAAAAGCTTATAAAATTTCCTATCGAAAGATATAGATCTCAAGGGGTACTCGAGCGTCCAAGTAACCCATAATTGAGAAATTGCTAGTCAAAATTTGCGGTAGTAAACAATATGTATTCTCAAACTGGCGGTGGTTTTTTGTACTTTTGAAAAAGTTCCGAGGCGTGTTCACTTAATAATTATATATCGTAAAAAGATCACAAATCGTATCTAATCGAAGGCATTACCCTCAAAAATTAAAAAAATTTCCCTCGTTCCCCGTAAATGGGAGAAACCTCAAAAAAATATCAAATTTAAAAATCGCTGTTTTTCGAAAATTTTTCAATTTTTTTATTAAACACTGCCATAACTTTTTTAAAAATAACAATAGCAATATATTTTTTTTTATAGATGCTTGATGTCTTTACCTATTATTTGGCATATATTTTTTATAAATCTAACCCTTTATCTGCCCACAAGTGGGCAGAATTGCTAACTTCACAGACATTATTATGCATAAATTTACCAATGTTTTTCAAATACATGTTATAAAAAATCTGTTGCATATTGGAGTTGAAAAATCCAAAATAACACATTATTTTTTAAATACATATGAAAAAATATTGAAAGATAAAATAGAAAAAAT